AGGCTTTGTCTAAGCCTTACAAATGTGTCCCCCACACATTTGTGCTACCTGTCCCTTGGTACTCATCAGGGGCATATGATTTCTCCACACTCCTAGATGGTTCTATATCTTTAGCCTTAGGATCTCAATGCTAATCATCAACCTACCTTCTCCCTAGCTGCTGTGTGGGGTACAGCCAGCAGTCGAGAATGCCCTTCATTCATTGCCTCATGGTTCCCATAGCATGTCCAGAGACATGCTATTTATTGCTTTGAAGTCAGTTAATGAATGGGGTTGAACTCAATGCAATTACAAAGAAAGAGAATGAACATTTATTAAGAGAAAGGGAACAGCAACATCAGTGTTTATAACAGTGCAACTCACAATAGCCAAGATATGGAAACAGCCAAGGGGCCTATCAATAGATGAATGGATTAAGAAAATGTGGTATACATACACAATGGAGTTTTACTCAGCCATAAAGAAAAATTAAATTATGAAATTGTGGCATTTACTGGTAAATGGGTGGAACTGAAGAGTATTGTGCCATGTGAAATAAGCCAGACTCAGAAAAATCAAAGTTTCAATGTACTCTTTTATATGTGGAAGCTAGAACAAAGTAAATAGGGAAGCGGGGATCAAATATCATGAAGACTGAGGGAAGGGTAGAAGGAGATTGAGGGGAGGGAGGAGGGACTGGAAAGGAAATACAGAATGAATTTGACAAAATTACCCTATGTGCATGTATAAATATATCATAGTGAATCTCACCTAATTAAAAACATAAAGATGAATAGAAAGTAGACCAGTGTAGTAAAAGAAGGGGAATAGAGGGAGTGAGAAAGGGAAGGAAAAGAGGAGACACTGGGAACTAAACTGGAGTAAAATTCCATGGAAGTATGATTGTCAAAATTAACCCAACCTGTGTACAAGTATAGTGCACCAATAAAAGCAAGGCGGAAGGGAGAAGAAGAGGGAAAGCAAATGAACAATTAATAAGTGCTATTTATGTACACACAGTGGGTACTGGGGGCATCCGAGGATGCTCTTGCAACACTGCAGCTTGCTGGAAAAACATGGCATTTTGTAAATAAGATCTCATTTAATTCTCATAAAAGGCCTTGCGGTATCATATCCCCATTTTTCACATGAAAGAAATGAAGCTCAAAGAGATTATAAAACTCTCATAATTGTCAGGCTACATCAAAATTGAAACCCAGGTATCTTGCTCTAACATGCATCATCTTTCCATTTATATATACTTTTTTTCTAAGCTTAAAAATCCCAGTATTCAGATAAATACAGCACTAAGCTTTAGAGATACTGCAGTGAAGGATACAGGCAAGGTGTGTCAGAACACCTAGATTGTGGTTTCCATTTGAGAAGGATAATTTAGGATGTTGAATTACCCATTCTAGTTGTTTGTATGTTTTGGCCACCATACGAATAGTTCCCATGTCTCAGAATATGAATTAAATGCTTTCTCTTACAGTTCCACTCCATTACACAATAGCCAAACATAAATAAAATGTGCTTATCATTGCAAGTCTCCAGTGGGGGCTTCCTCATACATTTGGCTGTCTCGCCTAAATATTCAAAATAGGCACATACATATTTCTAAACACACTCCTTCTACGTATGCTTCCTCCCCACTTCCTCTTATCAGTGGATCCATTAAGCCATCCCAGCCTTCTCAACCATTACAAAACCATACTCCCCCAGGACACTGCAGCCATTCTCCTTCAGGACAGCTCCTCAGGTGTTCTTTATCCTCCCAAGTGGTCCACGTGGCAAGCACTCTGTATAAAGTTCCATCAGAGGCTGGAATTGCCAGGGCAGGGCTGAGGTTGCTGGAATTTGAGATAAATAGACTTAATGGTCATCTGCCCTTCTTTGTTCTCCATCTGCATATCAGATGAGATGTTAGGAAACAGGATCCCAAACCAGAGTACTTCTACACTTCAGACAGAAATGTCTTGCACTCAGTTGCTTTGCACCATGGCTCTGGTATTAGTGGTCAGCAGGTATTGGGAATGTCTTTGGAGGAATGTGTACTCTGCTTCTCCTTTGATAGTTAGTACCTCCTATATTGTGATCCATGTAAAAAACCCTTCTAGAACTCTTCACAGAAATAATTTTGTCTCCTTGAATGACAACTGTGTTTTAGTTATCAGGAAAAGAAAACCTATGTTACCCATATGTATTCCTTTTGGCCATAACATACATTGATCACCTCATTCTCAATGTCTAGGGAAAAGAAAAAAAAAAACCTTCCCATTTCTCCTCTATGATTTTTGAGCTCCTCCTCTATGGAAGTTTTGAGAAGTATCTATGATATCTTTCTGCTCAAATACTAATGTTTTCTGGAAATTTGTATGGATATTTGTTGGGGATTAAGTAAATTAAATTCAACTACATCACATCCCCTCTCACTTAAGGATTCTTACTAATTGAGAAGAACCAGTTATATTGTCAATATTATAATTCAAAGCACTAAATTTTCTAATAAATACTGATAGGGGAATACCTCTTGATTATAAGGTGAAATTCTATCAGCACCCCCATCACACATTATCCATCCAGACCTGTTCTTCAGAACCCAACTGTGGATCAAGTGCATAGAGGATCATGGACTGGTCAACTTCCAATTGATGACCAGAGAGAGGAAGCCAGAGGGAGGCAGCCTCCTTGCCTGGTTCTGGAAGAGAGCTCTAAGCTGTGGCCCAGTTGGCTTCCCTAACACAACAACAGCAGGAAAGAGAGCAAGCACACACTCATTCATGACTAGTGGTCCTGCCCCAGGACCATACCTTTTTATAATTAATTCTCCTAGATTGTGTACCTGTTTCTTATTCACACAATGGCTCATATGAGTGCCTGGGACCCAGCCTTTACCCCAATCTCATATAAGCCGCTCCTGTGGTTGAAAGGGGTAAGTGTGGGGTGTGGGGAATTGAGAGCACATAGTTAGTGTTTTTTTCCTCCTGGGGTATGGAACACATATCTTCTCCTCCCTGTGAGTATTTGAAGAGCCAAGTAATAAATATTGTTCAACTATAGTTGTATAAATTGACAGGGAAGGATAGGATCCTGGGAGAGAGAATGGCATTCAAAAGGAGAAAACTTTGAATTGTCACTAGTTTACATATAGCACAAATGTAAATTTAATGTCTACTATGTGCCAGGCACAGCACTAGGCTTTAGAGATACTGCAGTGAAGGATACAGGCAAGGTGTGTCAGAACACCTAGATTGTGGTTTCCATTCTCTGTGTTCCCTTGGGAAAACCATTTCCTCACCTGTGAAATGAAGTTCTCTATTCTCAGCATTGTTTGGGTTCTCTCCTAGTTCCAGCATTCTTACCATATGTTTAGGTCCCTGTGCAACTTCATGAGGGATGTTCCTTTATAAAATTGGCCTGGGAAGAGGAATTCCTCAGAATTCTTCTCTGATCTTTTCTTCCAGTTTTTTGTCAGCCTGTGTGTTAGAATCAAAGCCATAGTTATTATGTAGTACCCAATTATTTGCCAAGAATAAGCCATCAGCAGGTAGTTGTACTGAAATTAGGGATCCCCTCATGGCATACTTGGAAGAGAGATTCAGAAGAGCAGGGGGACAGGATGCTGAGTAAGGAAGGGCAGGAACAGGTGCTGGCGAGGTGAGCAGGGGTGGGCTCAGGAAGATACACACACAGTACAGGCATTTCTACCATGAACTGAAGGCAACAGGAAGAATTTTTAACAGGGAATAATTTGATTAGATTTACACAAAAGAACAATCTCTCTGGCTCCATTGTAGAGAGGAACACTGTTAATAAAACAGGGAGATTTGCTCAGGGATTCCAGCTCAGCAGTCAGGAAAGACATCACAGTGGCCTGAATTAGGGAAGTGAAGAGCTCTGAAGATAGAGAATAGAGGATGGAGTCAGAAAAGGTAGGGGAAGTCAAACATGCAAGACTTGGAACATTTAAACATGGAAAGTAAGATAGAAGGCAAGAAAGGGAACTCTCAGGTTTCCAGTTGGAGTAACTGAATGGTGTCTGTTCCCTGCAATAGCCCAATTCTGGTTAGGGGCAGAGTCTAGAGAAGGAAATTAAATGCAGTCAGAGAGGAAGAAGGGCAGGAATCTAGGTAGACCGTTCACCTCTATTTTGTTGCAAACTACATATTCACATCTGGTTGAACTCAAGACCATATACACTATATAACCTGAGTAAATGAGTGTTATGTGAATTAATTTTATAATGTGAAAATCTAATGTGAATGATAGGGTTGATGCCCACAAACTTCATGCTGGGCTGGATGAAACCACCAGCTCTTGTCCTCTAGGCATATTCCACAAGAAGACCTGGAAGAATGAAAGATGTGAAGGTGAGACTGTGAACAGTCTTGATGGCCCCCAAATCCAGCATCCTGTTCAGTCCTAAAATCTCTCAGAGATTGTCCTATTCCATATAAGCATCTGGTTCCGATTGACTTTAATGGGATTCCCTTACAAACCACAGATTCTAAATTATCCCTTAGTAGGTATAGCATTTATAGGAGACATATTACTTTATTCTGAATACCCTTTGGGCACTATTACACTAAATTCTGACAAGAGCAGAATTCAGAATATGATCATCTAGTATGAGAATGCCACTGTTCACATGCTGATTGCTTGTAAGTCACAGAAAATAGGTATTTGTAAGAATTTTTTAAAATAAAAAAAGGTATATAATTTATGCTAAGAAATATCAAACATTATATTCCTATTGTTTTAATTTTATTTTGTTTCGTTTTGGCTTAATCCAAAGGCAAGTCATTTTTGCTGGGAGGAAAGGATACATTTTTTTCCCCAGGTCTGGAGATTAAATGATTTAGTAGGCATCCCACGTTCAACTAACAAAAGGGGGATTTGCATATGAACTTGTTTCTGCAAGAAAACACATTTAACATGTTCATAGTTCATGGGAATTCTCTGTATCAATGGCAGCTCCTTCTGGCCATCTCCTTCTTTTTTCTTCTTCTTCCTCCCTACAGGTCACTGGATTGAAACTATCTCAGGACCTTGATGATCTTGCCATCCTCTACCTGGCCACAGTTCAAGCCATTGCTGTAAGACACTTTAATGTCATTTTTAAGGAAATTTAGGATTATCAATGTACTCAGAGACACAAGCCTCCCAAGATACACCAGATGCTTTTGTGACAGAGTTTCTTAATTAAAGGAGAACTTGCCAAAAAGAGATGCCGGTATTTCTGGAAGGAAAAGTTGATAAAGGTCTTTGCTTGATTTGCTAATAAGCTTACATAGTGAAACTGAAAGGAGTTAAAGTCTTTGAGCATCATGCCCCCTCCCTTCCTTTCCCACCGCCCACTTTGCCTTATCTAAAGTTCATCTAATCCTCCCATCACCAAGCACTTTCTTAATACTTAGGTTTGTCCAGGTGCCATGTGTATACAGCAGAGAACAGAACTTTCCAACTACTGAAGGAATATGCCTTCTTTGATGCCACTACATAGGAGTATGGAATCAGCCAACTTGATTAAATAGTCCTTTCAGATTATATACCTCTTAATTGTGTTTTCCTGAAGCCACTCCTTATTGATTTAATAGTTTGGCCACTTCAGTGAAGTTAGTCACACTATTTTTTGCATAGCTACTTGGTCAAAAAGAGATGGTTCTGCCACCTATCAAACTGCAGGAAGTGAACACTACGATGAAAAAGGAAAACCTACATTAGTAAAGACAATTATTTACTACTCTTTTTTTAAGTGATGATGATTATGTATTATTAATACATAATAGAATTTGGGGGAATTTATTATATACCAGGCTCTATGTCAAATACCACATACCCATTATCTGATTCAACCTTGTAAAAGTAGATATTATAGTCCCCATTTCACAGATTAGAATCTAAAGCCTCAGTGTTGATCAGGGCAACATAGCCAGTGCATGGCAGAGCTGGAAGGGGAAGGCATACAACTAGATACAGGAAGTATTGAGGAACATTTATTTTCTAACTTGTTAACGTTATTATATGAAAAGTCTTTTAGCAAAATGAGTCACTTACATTAAAGTGAATAATTTTGGAAAATCAAAGCTGTGTAATGCTCAGTTTTGTGAGCATACTGCTAAGAGGTAGATGTGAAGGACAAGGTCAAACAGATTGGGCTCAGGGTCCTCACCTCTTAGTGGTAATGACTATGACCTCTTGGGAACTCCAACTCTGTACCAGGCACTGCAGTCTTACTCTGTGACTTAGGACTGTAACCCTATATGTCAATGGTATTGTCCTCATTTTACAGACAAGGGGCAGGCTATTTGCCAGGGTCACACAGCTCATGCATGGTAGCTGGAATTTGAACCTCTCTCCATGTCACTCCCAGGCTCCTGCTCTTTCTACTTTACCACGCTGTAATTTTCTTTGATCTATTTGTAAAATCTACTTGGATAAAATAAACATTCTGGCATTCCTGAGAATAGTTTTGACTTAACACATATTAGAAAACATCATTAATTTGGCCCAGATTTTCTCACAGAGGTCCCTTTCCCAGTAAGAACATTGCAGCAGAAGTTCAAGAATTTGAAAGTGAAGTTAAACATAATGTAGGCTGGAGAGAAAAAATAAAGAGTGTGCCTTAGTGTATTTAAGTGACTGTTTTATTTTGCCCATTGTCTTAATGATCTTTGTAAATCATGAAAGAAAGGTATTTTAGGACAGATTTCTCCATAAGGTTTTATTATGGACTCAGTTGAATTGGGAGGTGTCTTTTGCAAAAGGATCTGAGTGTGCTGATCTTTTAGGCAAAACTGTGCATCTTAATGAAGCAGTCTGACAACAGATATTTTCCCATAATTTCCACCTTGAAAAAATTGGTTTTGTTTCCTTGGTCCTGAATATTGCCTTAGTACCTATTTGTCATTAATAAATTCAATTAATTCCTCTCTGTAGTTAAACCCATGGTTGGTATTTTATAGGAATGGAATGAAGTGAAAGAGAAAAATTAGCTCAAGACTGTGCAAAACTCTCCATGCAATAAAATTCTTGCTCATGCTTCATTGAAAGACCTGTCAACTACCCAGTTCATCCATAGCCTGTTCATCTGTAGTTTTCTTTTCAGAAAAGGCCCTTAAAAAGTACTATTTGCATTTGAAGTCTCTTGATTTGCATTCGGTTCTGTACATTCTCAGTGGAGTAGCCTAATTTTAATTTAAATTTCTCAGTGAAAACATTTTTTCCAGAAAGGTGAGCACAAAATCATTGTGGCACAAAGCCCTTTGGTGGGGCATTCCAGGAGGTAGAGCAGTACACTGTGGAGTCTGGGAGTCTGGGATACCAGAAGGGAATGCCCTGTAAGGAACCACCAGACTGGGAAGTTCCAGTCAACCAGGCCACACAGGGGAGCAAGGCTGTCACAGCCCCTCCAGGGAGTGCCTCTTGTTCAGGTTCTTCCTCTGCTTTTCCCAGGAAATATGATTTGTCTTACTCTTGACTTAGGCCTGTTAATCATGTGGCTCCACCTCCCTGGTTTTAGAAATATCAGTTTCGCACGGTATTCCCATGCAAATTGGGAAGTAGCTATACTTCTTCCCATATAGACATATTGTTCTTAGGGAAATTACATAACTCCTAAGCAGGGTAACAATGTGCAGTATGCGAATTTGTTTTACCATTAGCAATGGCATGAAAGGGCCTAGCAGAGTGCCTAGTATATGGCTAATCACCAGAAGAGTCCTCATCCATAAACACGTTTACCGGTGCTCCAGCCCAGCTTCCTAGAGCAGCAAGCTTGTAACTTAGATATTACTGTTTTATCAAGTCTCAGACCACACTTTTTATTTCTTTTCACATTGTCATTTTTTATATTCCATAGAATTTTTAACTGAATGAATATGGTATTATTATTACTATTTAACAAACAAGAAATGAGTCTTAGAAAGATTAGATAATGAGAAATAAGTGAAATTCCTGAAGGACAGCTCGGTTTTTGTTTTTTGTTTTTTGTTTTTTTTTTTAATACTAAATTAAAAACTGCTGCTCTTAGCTGTTAAGGATCCATGCCCCTAGAGCAGTCCAGACTTACCTGGAATCTATGGGCATCAAATGATCCCTGGAGGACCTAAAGGCATCTGTTGACCCCCTGAAGTTATGTTTAGTACTACTTTGTGTGTGACTTTTTTTATCTGGGCAGGTCAGTAGGTTTTATCATGTTCTCAGTGGGGTTCATGACCCCCCAAAAAGCTTAAGAAAGAACATCTGGGGGTAATCAGCCATAGTCAATAAGCAGGATCTGGCCTTATGCAGTACAACATGTTTTAACTTTCTAAACACACACCATCTGTGGATTATCTTTGGAGGCCCAGGTTTCACCTAATCCATATTTTTAACAGATTCCTGAGTACCTTCAGCAAACCCTGAAGACCTCTGGGCAGGAACTGCTGTGCCCTTTGCTCATGACAGCCCTGTCCCTCTTGATTTGCTTCAAATCAACTGAGGTTTCAAACCAAGTGACCCCAGATCACCCACTGACCTCTCTCCCCCTTAGAGGCACCCCTGCCCAGGGGAGTCAGCATTCAAGCATCCTGGTCAAAGGAGGCAGCTGCACTTGCCCTACACCCACCCCTGGGGTCTGAGGTGAGGCTACAGCGTGCTGACTGCCCAAATCTGGGCCTTCTTCTGATCTTCTTACCCTCAAGCTAAACTTCCTCTTCTCTATGTATTGGGTACCAACTGCTCAGTGACACTCACACTCTTATCAAAAGCCATGACAGTGGCTTCTATCTTCTCTCCAGCCAGATTGGCCTTCTTGGTGACTCCCCATCTGGAACCTTGCACTTGGGCCTTTGGATCCTCCATCTTCCTATCTCCCTGACCTGTTCCTCCCTCCTCCTCAGCAATTCACTCCCATGGTCACACCTAGGATTTACCATCTCCCAGGATTGCTCAGACTTGAAACATTTCAAGGACTCTCTAGCCAACAAAAAATCCTCTTTTACATTTCTCTCCTGAGTCACCCTCAAATATCACCATGTGGCTGCTTCCTTAGGGTCACATTCCAGTTCATCTTCTTGTTTTTAATCCTTATTCAAAATACCTTATGAATTTTGAACTTCTAGTTTTTTTTTAATTTTCAAATGAATTATCATCCTCAACTATTTGAATAACCTAGCCAAAAATAAAGAATTGTACATTAAAATTCACTCCCATATTCCTAAGTTGTATAGTAGAAGAGTAGTCCTCTTCTCAAACTGTATTGGTTTTTACCAAATTTAATAAACTGTACAAGACAGGAATAAAGGTAATTCACATCAGGAAGATAGTGGGACTGAGATATAAGAACTGAATTGAAAAGGCAGTGAAACCCTGAGCCAGCCAGAGTGTGTGTTTGCCACAGAAGACTGACTAGAAATGGATTCTGGTTCCAGAAGCCTCATTATTAGAAAACTATTACCTGGTTTCAGGTGATAACAAAGGTTTCAGCCTTTGTCAGTGTAAGGTTTACATTCTTGATGAAATTAGAGCCCTCTTTTCTTGGCCCTACTACTGGATCCCTAGGCACATTTTTTAGGGAAAAAAAAAAAAAAAAAACCTCTTTAGTTCCCCTTTAGTTAAAGAGGACTGATCTGGGTGCAACCAGCTCTGTTCATTTTGGAGCAACATTGAAATCACTCCATTCCAGTATGGCATAGAGGCCCAGGCCACAGTAGATTCTCATCAAATGTTTGAGTGAGCTGCATTAATATTAATTGTGCTAACAATGTCAACTGTTTTTGTTAGTGTCATGTAACTACTGATAAAAGTAAATGCTATAGTAATTGAGAGGGTTTTGGAGTCAGGCAGGCCCAGGTTGGAATCCCCCTCTGTGAGCAATTAACTGTGTCCCATAGGCAACACAGGCTCTCTAAGTCTGAGCTTTCTGAGGCGGTGTGTGCAAAGCTATTGGTGCAGTGTCAAGCATGGGGAAAACACTTAGCAAATGTTCCTTATCATTTACTTTTGCTACCATACTAATGGTTTCTTCTGCTTTTCCCTTTAAGTTTGGGACCCGCTTCATTATAGAGGCCATGGAGACAGCAGGGCACTCCATCAGTACTCTTTTCTTGTGTGGGGGCCTGAGCAAGAATCCTCTTTTTGTGCAGATGCATGCAGACATTACTGGTAAGTCTGGGGAGGAAGAGAGAAAGTCATTTTAGGCTTGGCAGCCATTGGACATCACCAAGTGCTGGGCAGGTTGAGAACAGGAGGATATGGGTGACGGGTCAAGTTATTTAGATGACTCTGAAGATTTATGTTCATCATAGGGAAATTGACTATTGAATGAGATGAGAGAGGTCAGTAGGAGCTAGATTTTGATTCCAGCATTTACTCTACAATTTTGAGTACCTCTTATGATTTGGGCATTGTAGGCAATATTGAAGATACAAATATGAAGAAAGACATAATTCTTGCTCTTACAGAGCTCAGGATCTATTGAGGAAGACAAAGAACAAATAGACTCATTAAACAAAATGTTGAAGAACTTCTGAGTGAGTAAATCATAGGATATTTTGAAAACCCAGTGGGAACTTTGCCCAGTTTTGAACCTGTGACAGTGCAGGCCAATGTGATCTAGAAGAAGTGATTAGAAAGATGCTGTGGGAACTGGGACCTGGCCACAAACTGGGAATTTGAATCTAAGGAGCCCACCATCCTTAGATGCCTTCTCAGCTCATCAGAATCCAGAATCATAACACAGATGGAGGGAATCCAGAGTAATGGGCTGAGCCCTTTGTGACAAGGAAAGACAGTGGCAGAGCAATTTCTTAGTAAGTGCCCCTGGGACCCAGGGAAAGGGCCCTACTGACAGGAGATTTGCTGATGGCATAGAGGCAGGCCTGCACTCCCATTTCTCTGGACGCAGTACCCACACCTCTCTTGCTCATTCTCCCCTAGTGTCTCCTGAAGCATCCCTGGGAGGGCCAGGCACTAGAACATGGAGAGGGGAGGGAAATAGGGGAGGGTTGTACCCTTCCCCAGCCTGATATCATCCCACTCTACCATGGCCTTCATCATGACCCTCTCTGGCCCCTGTTGCCTGGGCTACTTTTCTCTGACAGCTGAGCAAGTCAAATCTCTGAGCTCACTCAAATCTCTCACCTCCTCATATCCTGTTTCTCCTCCAGGCCATGCAGATTCCTGCAGAAAAGAGCTTTATCTAATGTGATAGACACTGTTGATCCCTATACACTCTAAGAGGAAGCTCAACAGGCTAATTATCCCCATCTTTGAGATAAGTAGACTGAGGCACAAATTAGAAAACATTTGATAAAAATGTATAGTCTAAGAGTAGACCTATCAGGTTGGGAAGTGTAGAATTTACTTCCATTTAACAAGTTCCTACTATGTGCCAGTGTGAATCACCCTATAAACATTTGATCCTCCCATAACATGGAAATTAGAAAATAGACATTACACACAAACCATTGAAGATGGTAGATTTGAATTAAGTTGACTTTTCCAAAGTCAAACAGCCAGTAAGGGATGGGTCAGGAGGAGTGTAATTTGGTTATGTCTGTACCCACCATCCCCTCTGCTGCTGACCCAGGTTTCTTGACTTTTCCGGTATAACCATTTGATGATGATCCCTTTACAAAGCTGTTCAAAACCTGTGGAAATGGACCATAGAGAGTGGCTGGAAGACTGAAGCACAAAGAGGAAAGACCAGAAAAAGGGCCCACATTACCTAATTTTCCCTGGGAGAGTAACCATGACCATGTTTTATCTAAAATTCAGCTGATTGGTTCAGTGAAGGTTCAGACTTAAAACTTGGTTTATGATCTTCCAATTTCCAGCTTCAAATAGCCAAAAACACATCCACCTGGATGTAGGAAGGAAGATAGAAGTCAGGTTTGAGTTAACATATTGCTCAATGGAATGAGGAAATCAGGGCCCCTGAAAGCAGGCAATCCAGAGTGACCAGGACACTGTCTCAACACTAGTTCCAGCCTTTGTGAAAACGGGTCACCTTCTAAGCATGATACCCTGAGCTGACTCAGAAGCAAGGCCTGCAGCCATTTCACTGAAAGTTCGGCTTTGGAAACTGCTCTTCTCCAGACTGCTGAATGAAAAGGCTGTTAATCGTTGTTTGGATTCAGATTGAAACTGGACCCTTTGTCTCTAACTATGCACCAGTTACAGTTATAGACAAAGGGACCTTTTCTTTGGCCTGAAATTCCTCTGCTTTTGGAAGCCTGTGACTGACAAGTGATGGCAAAGTGCATCTGCCTTTAAATGCTTTGGGTTCTGCTAAACTCATTAATGCATCAGATAAAATAGTTCACATTCCAGGCAAGGCCCCCCTCTTCCTCTCCTTCACCCAGCACTCAAAAAAAGGAACACATTTGCATTTGTCCCTGTAAAAGGCCCTGAGAACACAGTGGCGATACACATCAGCCTGTGGATAGGTAGTGCATTTGGTGCTTTTAAACATTGTGATTGCTCTAATTTTCCTACCAAGAAAGATTTAGAGAGGACATGGTACATGATGCTCAGAAATACATGTGAAAAAATCACAGTAGAATTTGCAAGATTCTTTGGAGATGGTTCAGAGTGGTGGAAAGAACAACAAGCCAGGACTGTGACTCAGGACCAGTTATTTTACCTCTGTGAGCCTCAGTTCCCTCTTGTGGAAGACAGAAACGTTATCATCTCTCTCATGTAGATCGTGCTGAGGGATAGATATGTCAATGCTTGGGAGTTGGTTAACAATGAACTCTGTGCCTCATTCCCAGTAGAATCCGTATCTATGACATCACTTCTCCCCTCCAGACAGCCCCACACCAAAAGGAAGAAGGGATGGTAGAGAAAAAGCAATTTAATATTTTTTTTTTAGCAAAATCTTTCCTGTGTTAGGAACAGCATGCTCTATGGGGCTTTGCCAGCTTGGGAAATGCCAACACTGGGAAGAATCTCTTGGTGCCCCGGCCACTTAGTTAACTGTGGTTTCAAGAAATACTTGGTGTGTACTAAGTAATTGTAGGTTTTCCCCCAGTGACTTGGGACTAAATGTTCCTTCTTCTAAACTTTGTTTTTAGTACTGACAGTATCCATTGGGGGTTTTCCTCTTCCTGTCTTACTCATTATTTTAATCATTTGTTCATTCATTTATTCACTGCAATGCATTCTCTGAGCACACCAGCCTGTCAAGTGCTGTGCTTTACAACATGGGGATGCAAAAAGAGAATGATGCCCTACGGAGGGTTTTGTTATAAAACAGAAAAGGTGCTCATCATGGTCCTGTGACCAATGTGCAAAAGAGTAGAGTGGGAACCCAGAGGACAGAGTTGTCAGGGTCATTCAGGTCCAGGCAGAGAACAGATGCACACTCAAGTCGGGTTAACTGGAGAAAAGCTGAATAAGGGATCAATTTACAGAGGTGTGAGCAGAGGTTAGGGAGACCTGGACCATCAAGAAGTCCCCTGGGGCAGCCAGCAGTGTTTCTACCCCTAAGCTTTCAGGGTTAGAGAGTTCCAGGGAGCTAGTGGTATCTAGAAACTGAGAGTCATATGAAGAAGGTGGCCCAGCAGAAGTCTAGTCAAGGGTGTTGCCAGAGGACAAGGCCCATCTTTCAGAGCTCAAAGCAAGTGGGGAGATATGTGGAGGAGGTAGGATTGGTCTGAGAGACAGATGGAAACAATCAGTTGTTTTACCCAGGGTAGAAGGATGAGGAGAAATATCACAGACAGGGAAACTTCAAGAATCATTACAGCTAATGTTAATTTAGTGCTTTCTCCAAGCCAAGCACTAGGTGCCTTACTTTCAACAGCACTTTTAATTCTCACAGCAACCCTAAGCTGGAATTTGAATCCCATTTTGAAACACACACACACACACACACACACACACACAAAGAGAAGTAAGGATCACACAACGAAGTTGGTGAAGAAGCCAAAGTTCAAACCCTGACAGTCTGGCCCTGCAGCACTTTGGGCTGCAACCTGAGAGCTAATAGGGGATTCATTAGATTCACTCTGGTCTCTGGTTTCCAAGGGGAGGGATTTGGGAGTAGTTTCTCCCTACCCAGACATAGGGAAATTTTGGCAGGGAAAAGAGGGGCTGGGAGACAATGGTGTTTGCGGGTGCAAGCTTCTAAAAAGTCCCAGGTCAAGGGAAAAGTCTGAATGGCAGGCTCATATTATACCCCCATCATTCCTGGGATTCTGCAAAGTTCTACAGTGCCCTCTCCTGATTGGGCCATTATCACCCTTCATTGTGGCCTGGTGTTCATCCTTTCCTTCTAGATGGCTGACAGCAACCTGCTCTGCCCTTCCCACTATTGCACTTTGCAGTCCAGGTGAAGTACAGGTAGAGTCTTTGCTCCCCATCCACCTAATTCTGACAGTGCCAGCCACTATTTCTGCAGAGTTTACCATGGGCCAGGAATTGTGCTGTGCCCCATGTGTATGCCCTGTTGTTTACCCTCAGAGTGCACCTGTGTGCTAAGTCTTATCCCTATTTCACATGGGGAAACCAAGACTGCAGAGTTTAAGGAGCTTGCAGAAGGACTCGGTGGAATCAGGAAACAAACCCAGGTCTGAGCTTTTCCCAGAGCCCACTCACCTGAGCTTACAGCAGACTGGTATTTCCAGGTCTTCTGGGAATTCTGCTCCCTGGTCCCTTTATGTGGTGGCTGGGCAGCTGACCCAGCCCTGGAGAAAGGCAGTGAATTAGGAATGATGTGACAAAGAGGAGTGTATAGCAGAGAAGTCTTCCCTGATAAGAGACGGTCTTTAGAAAAATAGCTGTCACGTGCTGAGTAGAGGAAGATTTCATTCCAGAACTTACCTCTGTGGCATTTGCTGCCATCTCCCGATAAGCAAATATATATGGTAGGTACTATTTTAATGTCTTATTTTTAAGCCCTATGATATGGGTAGAATCTGAAACCCACTTTGGAAACTGAGGTAGAAAAAAGTTAGACAACTTGCTTAGGGTCACACAGTGAAGTCAGTAAAGAAGCTGACAATTTAGAATCCTGAATTATTTGTATTAGTCTTGACCCCCTGTTGAACCCTCTGGGAGTTGGTATGTGGAGGCTTCTTCCTGCCTGATGGTCCCTTACTCACCCTTCAAATGCCTGTGTAAGCCCCATGTCCACAATGATCACCACTACCCCAGAAATTCTTACTCTTGTAATTTAATCACTCTCCATGTAGGAGATACTGTCTAAACACCAGGAATATAGCTGTAGACCAGACAAAGCCCCTGCCGGCAGAAAGCCCGAATTCTGGCATGGGGATCAAGACACTAGACAACATAATACAATATAGGCTGGAAGATGAGGAGGAAAGAGGGAGGAGGTGAAGTGAGGGTACATTGTCATTTTGAATCCCATGCCCCAGGCTCAGTGGGAAGGTTATGTTTACATGAAGAAGGGGAGAAGGTGGTTACCATGTGGGCATCTGGAAGGACCTAGAAGCATATTCAGGAAACAGCCAGGAGGCCAGAGTCATATGGCTGGGAGGAAAGGAGAAGATCAAAGTGACAAAGTAAACCTAGACCCTAGAGGAAAGGCTTTTTCAGACAATGTCAGTGCACTGAGAAAGGGAAGAAGCCACTGGAGAGCAGAATCCCACCCTCTCTTGCTACTTCCCTTCTCTTAGTACATCTCAGTCAGAGAACCAGCCCCCTGCATGACCTGCTTCTCTTTCTCATCCATCTCCCCTCTGAGATCTGAACAACAGACACTGTCTGATTCATCTCAAGCTTCCCTGGGCCCAATAAAGCAGTAACATACATTTGTTGAGCTGAACTTGAACCAAATGTCAGGTAGCAGCTGGAATACCTGGGCTGTGAGGTCTCCAGAGCTGATACATATGGTGTGGGATCTCCTGAGGCTCTGGGCTATTGTACCAGCAGGCACAGCCAGTGAAACCCTTTAGAACTGGGTAATTCTGGGGAACAGGGGCTGGGGGTCCTGGGAGGGCTGCTGCTGGGGTTGCCTGCTGGCTCTCCACACTACCCCCACCCTGCTCCCTAACCAAGGTGTGGTCTTGTTCCGCACAGGCATGTCTGTGGTCCTGTCGCAAGAGGTGGAGTCTGTTCTTGTGGGAGCTGCTATTCTGGGTGCTTGTGCCTCGGGGGATTTCACTTCTGTGCAGGTATGTGAGGACCTGGGGGCGGGCCTTGATCCCTCCTCTGTCTGAGGCTGATCTTCCTCTTGACAGCAGCTCTCATCTTGCAAAACACACACAGGATATAATTAAGAAATGATAGGTTGCAGCCAGGAAAATCACAAATGCTTCCAGCTTCAGACATATTTATTGCAGCTTTCATTTGACTTGGCTTCTGTTGGTGTTGGTTCTGTTTTTCTGTTGGTTTTCTTTTTTCTCCTTTAAAATGGCTCTTAAATTAAGTTTTTAAACTTCCCCCTTGATAATTTTTCTTTGCACAATGGAAACAGGTAAGACTCAAATGGTTTTTTGTGCATACTTCAAATTTTGTTTTTGTTTATTTCAATCTTGTCACTTTCCAAATAGATACGAGGCCTCTGTCAAGAAGAAACACAGGGAAAAAAATGTTAGAAAAGAATTAAAAAGGGAAATAAGGAACAAAAATGTAGGAAGAAAGAAACAATTTGGTGGCTGTGATTGAGTACATAATTTGGCTTTGAGCTTCCTGGCAGCCAAGAAAAAAAAAAAAAAAAAAAAAAAAAAAAGAACGCATGATTAGTTGCGTAATTCTTATTTTCAGAAGGAGGAAACATACTAATTTCTCAGAAGACACAAAGTTTTTTCTGCCACCAAATTGCATAAGATGTTGCACGTATGGGGCTTTGTGGATAGAGTCCAAGTCTAACTAAAATAGTAGAAAATGGGTGAAAACTGAGGATACTGGAGAGGCTAAGAGCAAAGGCTCTGTGGTTGGACCTGGGCTCGGATCCTAGCTGGATAGTGTCCTAGCTCTTGTGACCAAACCACTTTGCAGCACACACCTGCACTTCTTTATATACTTTAGACTTCATGACAGTAGCTTGTTGTGAGTTCATTCTATGGGTCACATGCTTCCATTAGTCTCCACGTAGCTCTATTATCCCCATTTTATACTTGAGGAGCCAAAGGTATAAAGACATGGCTTAGCTTCACATGAAGCAGCCAGGAAAGGCTGGAATGGAGAAGTCTGGCTCCCAGGTCTCAGTGGAGAGTTCAAGAGATATTTGTTTAGCAGTTAATATGAGAACTTAATGACTTCCCCACAGTCTCAGGGTTAAGGCCAAAAGCCAGGTTTTCCACTAGTAGCCCAGTAATTAGAATTTCGTTTACTGTGACCCTCTTCTGTGCCTGACTATAACCTCCTGACACCTGTAATGTCCTTCGTGGGCCATAAAGACTGATCAACAGATCCACGAAGCTTACAAAACTTAAGGGCAGACTGTTAGATACAAAAGCCTCTTTCTACAATCCATGCTTTTTGTAATACATTTTGGGAAAGGTGGTATGCTACACACTGTTCTAGCCTCTGGAATTGATGACTCCAAAATCTCTCTCTAAGGAACAGACTGCATTTAAGAATACCTAATAGACTTTAACCAAAGCCATTAAAGAAAATGGGTACAATTGAATTTCCAATGTTTCCTGGTTTCACTAATTCTCTCTCAAAAAACATCACATGGAAATTTTATTTACTGTTGAAATATTAATGGATTGTCAATTGTTATTATTATAATGTATAAACTTTAGAAGCTGTCTCACAACTAGAGGTCTTGTTCTTCTTGGGATAAATTATAATAGTTAAATCAAAATAATAGTGATGTTTATTAAGGCACTTCATAACCCCCAAAGTGATAGTATTTAGAGAGGAGATTTTGAAAGAGAATTAAATGAGATCATGAGGGCAGAGCCCTGATTCCAAGGGTTAGTGGCCTTATGCAAAAAGATATCAGAAAGTTTGCTCTTACTCCCTCAGAATTTGACTGTGTAAACCAAAAGAGCACCCTCACCAGAGCCCAATAATGTTGGCACGCTGATTTCAGACTTTGAACCTCTGAAACTGTGAGAAAATAAATTTCTATCATTTAAACAATAATTCTTGATATTTTGTCCACTAATATCTCAACATTAATATTTCTAAGACACCTCTTGACAATCTCCATGCCTGAGACAGATCATTCTATCCTTGTATTATAGATAAGAAAACTAAGGTGCAAGAACATTCTAATTATTTACTCAAGGCCACACAGTTAGTAAGGGTGGAAGCATCATTGAAATGGAAGTCTCTGTGGATCTATACCCTATGTTAATCCTCATTCTTTTTCTAAACTGTTTGATTTTTTTCCTTCTTTCTTTAAAATATTTTCTTGGCTTTTTAAAAAAAAATATATTTTTAGTTGTAGATGGACATAATACCTTTATTTATTTATTTATTTATTTTTACATGGTGCTGATGAGGATTGAACCCCGTGCCTCACACATGCTAGGGCTACAGACAGAACCAGGGCTTCCAGTTCCAAGAGTTCCATGATATCCTCCTTTAATTAGAAACTGAGCTCAGTTCTGCACTGGCATCTTTGCTACAAGAGATTTGCTGTTAATCTTTGGAACAGAATCTAAGATACGGTATATTTGGACTGGTGACTTGAGTAGCAGCTGCAGGGTTCAAAGCATCTTAAAGACAAGCTCATGTCTCCTACTCAAGCCAAGGAAGTAGGTGCCTGTTCTGATTATTTTCAGGTTATCCTGTAACTCAGCAAAGGGAGCCCCTGAATGAGAAAGGTCCAAGTTGTATCTGTCATCATTTACCTGCCTCAATCCCTACAGTCTTGACTCAGTGCTTTCTTATACATCCTCAAACAGTATCACCTGTCCTCTCCAGGTACTTGTTTTGTTTGTTTGCTTTTAAATATCTAAATAAGAAAAATTGCCACCACTAGGACTGTTAAGCTGAGGAGGCTCGAAAGTTCTGCTGTCCTCACAGGTGTAATCAACATCATTAGAATGATTATGTTTAGAACTGCTTTAGAGAAGTAAGTGTATGTATTTGGCTTCATTCACCCTTCTCAAAGAGAAGCCAACCTGTGAGCTCAGGCCTGGGGAACCAGCTCAAGATTCTGGCATGGTGAGGTAAAACAGAATTGCTTCTTCCCCAGGATTCAACCAGATCTTCAACAATCTTTTCTTTGAACTTCAAAGATGCTAGCCAGGTCTTCAGAGGACCTGCCATTCCTGACTTCAGAGAAACCAAATAATTCCTTTCAGGAACTCAACTATTACAGCAGAACTCAACTATTGTCTTGTCTGAGGTCACATGTCTAGTGGTTGAATGGAGGATTTCACTTTTTATCTAGATGGGCTGACATTGGCAATCTAAACCCGTCATATCCATTAGATGAAGGGAAGGCTAGAAGAGTTCAGAGGACACTGACTGCAGACCTACCAAAGGGGAAGCAGGTTTTCCCAATTTATTAGGCCCATGAATGGAAGACTTCAGCCAGGGGCAGAGCCCTGTGTCTTCCTTTGGTGACACCAGTGTATCAGAATGGAACCACTGTGGTAGATTTTATTAAAGCTACTGCAAACTTGTATATATGTCAAGTCCAAGGAAATCCTGAGGTTGAGGGTTTGGGACAGTGGATGGAATTTTGTGGTGAGGTGTTAGTGGGAAAGATTGGTCAAGTATAAGATCCGCTACTCTTACCAACTTGGAAACATGTTGACAATTACTAGCCTTCACCTCTTGTTCTTTTTTCCACTAATATTTTCATTTTCTGGGTCTTCCTCTCTCCCCCCTGCCCTTTACTTCCCTCCTTTCCTTTAAATCATCTAATATCTTCTTACGATGACCTTTTCAAATAAGAGCCTCATGGAGGGCACTGACATAGCCATCCATCTGCACTGAGGAATAGAAGGACTAGCCATATCCTAGAGACATGTCCTGCGGGAAGCAAGTTGTCCTGTAAGTAGCTGTCAAAACTGCCTCCAAAGAGTGTAAGGACATGTCAGAGTCAACTTCCTACTGTGGAATCAGGTCACAGCTAGGCTGTTCCCATGGTGAGAGTTCAGCTGTTTAGTAGGAGTTGGGGACAGAGGTAGCATGGATGAGAGTCTTTTCCCCCTCCTTTTATTCATGGGACTGTGAATCCATATAGTCTTGATCTCTGTGATCTTTCCATATGATCACACCCCCATTCCTGTGTCAGTGCACTAAAAACAATATCTCTGATTTTGACTATTCTGGAAAACACAATTCTGGATATGATTGGTTTCGATTGCCAATGTCAGCCCATCTAGATAAAAAGTGAAATCCTCCATTCAACCACTAGACACTATTCTGGAAAGCCATAGCACTTCTGTAGACTCCCAAGTCCTGGAAACGAGTAAATTGGAAAAAATATAAGTTTATAAAAATGTTTATGTTTTCTAAGCAGGGAAAATAGAATGATTTTCTAATAAATGAAAGAAAAAAAAAGTTGTTTTCCAAAAGTCATGAGAGAAAACCCAATCAAATGACAAAGAGGCAGAAATGTGAAATGGTTTTCCACAGTTCTGCTGTTTTCATGCCCCCTGCAGATGTCATTAGCATTCTGTAATTTCTTAAGAGGCAGGTTTTTTCCAAGATTATTTATACAAAACAACCTTTAACTCCAACAGTACTATTTATCTTGAACCACCATCTTCCTCTCCTACCTCCACTCCTCCAAAAAAAGCAGTGGAGGAATCATCCCAAGCAGCAAAAATCAACACAAGGAGACAATGACAAGAGACCAAACGAACTCAGCAATCATTGTAAGGGGAGTACGGTATAAAGAAATAAGCTCAGGGCTGGGATTGTGGCTCAGCAGTAGAGTGCTCGCCTAGCATGGGCGGGACCGGATTCGATTCTCAGCACCATATAAAAATAAAGGCATTGTGTTGTGTCCATCTACAAAAAAAGATTCTCTCTCTCTCTCTCTCTCTCTCTCTCTCTCTCTCTCTAAGAAAGAAAGAAAGAAAGAAAGAAAGAAAGAAAGAAAGAAAGAAAGAAAGAAACTCAATTATTCAAAACGCTTGCTTTCTCCCACCCGCTGTAAGCTGCCACCCCATAAACCACTGACTCCATTCGCTCCCACCATCAACTTTCCCTGTCACGTTCCAGACAGACTCCTGTGTCTCTCAGACCAATACTT